ACTTCGGATTTTTTTTAATTTCATGAAATTATAGAATGTAGATGGGAGATACATCGATGACAAAATATTATATTAATTCTTCGAAAAAACTTTGAACTATCATAGTTTCAACATTTATAAGAGATTATTTTGGTCTCGGATTTTTCTTTCACCGTGAATTTATGTCAATGAATTTAACAATTTCATTTCTGCTCGTTGTGAATACGTCTAACATGATAAACACGATTATTAGATTAATTTCTATGGCAAGCAATGAAATTGTTTTTTATTGCAGTTTGATTTTGTAAGTAATAATAAAAGTAAAACGTAATCTTGAGCAACATTTAAAATATTACAAGACATTCAAAAAAACATATATAACGCAATTAATCTTATTTACGTTATATTGCGAAAAATTTGATATCAGTATGTGCATATAACTTTCAAGTTGTACGATATTGTAGTGAATCAAAAAAAACGATGCAACCGCACATTTACAATAAAAAATAACAAAATACAGAAGCTCCAGTGAATTGATATTATGAGAATATTACAAAGACATCCCTCGTCAAATTATAAAAATCATATTCATCCATAGAGCATAGTTATATCGCTCTTCCTAAGTCACGACATAACAATTCGACAATGTTGCAAATTCCGTCAGTGATGCAACATTCGTCAGTGACGCAACAAAATCCGTTAATGATACAATATTTGTCAGTGCAATACTCGTCTCTCCGCAGTTAGTGCGTCATGGAATCAATTCGAATCAAGTCGGTCTTGATTCACACACACACACACACACACACACACACACACATTTCAATTCAATTCATTCATTGGAATTCATTCACTGGATTTCAATTCAATTCATACACAAATTACATACAATTTCACAAAGATTCTTACCTTTTCATTATACTTCGCATACGGTTGCTATCCGCCTCAACTACAAGCGAATCGCGTCATAACGCTTGAGGCATCGCGCCGTCACATATAGAATGAAAAATGTATTATTCTGAACTAGCTCGTTTCTCTAATTATTAATAAAATAATGTCGAAAAAAAAAATGTTTTTGGAAGTCGTTTCGTTGCAAATATGCGACTCGTATGTGAGTGGAACAGTGGAACAATCTCTTTAAACTGTCTCAATAGTTAATATCAATTAAATTTGTTACAAGTGGAATTCAATCAGTCGGTCCGATTATAATTGTAAAACGATGGACTACCACAAACTATCTCTTTTACACATAAATGATCAGGGGGAAAAATTCGACGACAAACGAAATTAAAGTAGATTCAAGTACGTGAATGATTAGACGACACAGGAATAATAAAATAATCTCCCCATGGAG